TTAGCCATGTTCAGCTAATTAGATCTCGTTTTATTTGCTGAGAGGTTAAAGTTCAGCTTTGTGTCTCAGGCTCCCAGTCTGGCCTCTCAAGGGACTCAGGACTCCGGTTTGGAGCTGCAGTACCTCAGTTCTCCCGACAGGGGGCGACATCAGGAAGAGCTTCCTCCAGGAGGTTAGTGTGTCTCAGACACTGTGGGCAGAGTGGGATCACAGGCTGATGATGGATTTCCTGCAGGACGAATTCATCCGACATCCAATGACCCAACTGAAGTTGTTTCTGCTGGGATCTCCCAGGGTCCTCCAGCAGGGGGCAGGATGTCACAGCGTAGAGATAAGGTGACGGTCTCACACCAGCTTAGGTGCTGTCACTGAGCACTTGCTTTCATCTGTGTGTGTGTGTGTCAGCAGGGAGGCAGATGTGTGTCAGACTGCATGGAGAAGAAGAAGATGCAACGGTCCCTGCAGCGACACAGGTCCCAGATTCACGTTGTTTATCTGCTGATAAATGACTGATGAAGCTATAGAAACAGACCTGTGTGTGTGTAGGAGTGTGCTGCAGGTGTGTGATGAGTTGATGTGTTTGGAGGAAACTCTGCTGCAGAGACGGGCGGAGCTTCGCCAGGCCGACCGGCTGCTGCTGGAGGCTCAGAGCTGCCGCCGGACGGCCAGGAGAGACGTAAACACACACGCAAACCTGTCTTTCTATCTTTGCTGGGACTTTCCATTGACTTCCATTTTTTCTATTAAACAAAACTCAATTCACACCGTAGTCCTAAACCTAAGCCCTAACCCAAAAACAGCATTTCCCCTTGTGGGGACCAGGCGTTGGTTCCCACAGCATCAAATACAAGGACACACTCTGAGCACCAGAACCTCCTGACCTCCTCTGTTCCTGTCAGACTGATTTGCTGCAGCACCGACTGGAGGACAGCACCACCTGTCTGCTGGAGGCCACATGGCACCTCAGGTAAACTCTATTCTCTTCCTCTTTCTCCTCCTCCTCTTCCTCATGCTGGAATGTCCTCTCAGGGAGCTGCAGGAGGGGGCGGAGCTGCTGAGGAGGAAGAGGGAGGAAGAGGAGCAGCACCTCAGGAAGATAGAGGAGGAGCTGAGGAGCCGACAGGAGGAGCTGCAGCAGCTGGGGTCAAAGGTCACCAGGGCTGCAAATAGGTGAGGCAAGCACCTGCAGCTCCTTCATAATAAAAACCGCCAGGAGACAGGCTCACTGTGTGCGTGTGTGTGTGCAGACTAGCTGATCTGCTGTCAGACTGTCAGGAGGCTCAGGAGCACCTGGATTCTCTCACCTGTCAGGTAACTGCTGGAGGTTCAGAACCTTCAGGAGGGGGCGCCGTTTACAGCTCGGGTTCTCCTGCAGGAGCAGCGCAGCGCCTGGCTGCCAGGGGGCAGCAGAGAGCTGGAGGACCGGAGGAGACGCACTGACAGGTCTGGGACCAGAACGTCCTGTCCGCCCTTCATCATTTGAGGGGGGCAGAGCTACAGAAGAAGGCAGCGCCATTGGAGGGCAGAGCCACAGTGGATCACTAAAGGAGGAGCTACAAAAGGTCATCGTGTTAGAGGCAGGAGCTGCATGGAAGAGGCGGGGTTATAAAAGACTGACGAAGAGGAAGATCTACAGAAAAACTTTATTGTGTGAAACCAAAAAACATTCGATTTATGCAGCCAGCTGCTGATCCTCTGGGCCTGTTTGGGTCCTTCTGTCTCCCCAGGACTGATCCAAAACGTCTCAGGGTTTTACTCTGAAAACCCACTTCCTGCTGGTTTTGTTCCCGTTCTGGTGGGCCGACCTTCGGACTCGGTTCCGGCTCGGTTCAGGTGTTTGTGCTGCTCGGTCTCTTAAAGCTCTGCCTTCAGGTACTTCAGGTGTGCTCTTGCTCTGCTGTCACGGTTGCCAGGCAACAGAGAACCTGAGGGCTGCAGTGGCGGCTGTCGACCTGCAGGAGGAGCCGCTGCAAAGAGAGAAACCTGAATCAATAATCAGCTCAGTGGATTTACTTCACAATTTATCATTGTTAAATGTATTTTTATTGTACAAAATAATTACATTTTTACACAAATGATAGATAAAAAAATAAACATTTTACTTTGTGTTCCATATCAGTTTATATTTTATTTTTAATGGTTTCATTTTCAGTTTTGTTCATCTGACGTTTAAATGGATATTTGTTGCAATCTTTATTCTATTTTCTACATATTTTCTTCTTTCCACATCAATTTTGTTATTGTGATTATTTTTATTGATAAAAACAGAAACACTAATAAAAATGTGTTGTTTGTTAATTGCTGTAATCTGAATGCATCGCTGCAGCGCCACCACCAGGTGACTCACCTGAACGCGTCGCTGAGTAGCGGCGTCCAGCAGGCGCAGGGAGGCGGAGCTTCCCTCCATCAGCTGCAGCCGGACCGAGTCGCTGAGTCCCGGGTCTGCAGAGACGTCGACCAGCAGCCGCAGCAAACAGCGCAGCAGGGCATCGGCGCGGCTCGCCATCCTGACGGGGTCAGAGGTCAGATTTTAGGGTCAGGTGCTTCAGAGAGAACTGGTTCCGGCGGGTTTCCCGTTACCGTGGCCACGCCAGCCTGATGGTCGACTGCAGAACCTCCAGCATCTTCAGCCGAACCGACTCATCCGGCGGATCCCCGATCTCCAGGTAACCCAACAGAACCGGCATCAGCCGCCGCAGGTGTCTGCACACGGCCACGCCCACCCTGGACACATCACAGCATGAGGCCACGCCCACCCTGGACACATCACAGCATGAGACCACGCCCACCCTGGACACATCACAGCATGAGGCCACGCCCACCCTGGACACATCACAGCATGAGGCCACGCCTACCATGGACACATCACAGCATGAGGCCACTGTTTGGGTCGGGTTCTGATGTAGAGTCAAGGTGTAAGAATCAAACGTACCTCTCCACGTAGAGCAGCAGGGCCGAGGCGTAGACGCGCCGCAGCGCCACCTTATGCTCCGCCTCCATGTGGGTCAGAACCAGATGCAGCACGTCGTCATGGCGACATGGCTTCCTGCGGCAGTAAGAGGAGGGGGGCTTCTCCAGAACCAGCAGCAGGTCGAGCAGGCAGGAGAGGACGAGCTGCAGGTCAGAGGTCAGAGGTGAAGAGTGGGTCAGAAAGTGTGTGTGTGAACCAGGTTTTTATATCCTTGTGAGGTCCATTTCTGTCTGCATTGGGGGGTCGTGGGACCCCTCTGCTCCTTCTGAGGACAATTTCTTGATCCCCATGAGGGAAAAGCTGTTTTTGGGTTAGGGGTCAGAGTTTATTTATTTATTTATTTATTTTCGAACAGACAGAAAAGACAATCAAGAAAGAAAAACCCCCAAAATAGAATGAAACAAACTAAGGAAATAAAAGGTAAAACAAATTATTATGCCCATGTGAGAGGCCACTTTTATATTTTCTGTTTGAAAAGGAGCAGGTAAAAGATATTATATCGTATAATGTCCTGGCCCTTTCATACTTATCAATTTATAATCAATTAACTGTCAGAACATCAAAATGACAATTTGTTTCCATTTTACATGATATTTAAATATGTACAATTATTTAAGCACTATTTATATCATCAATAGCATTTACAAACTATAAAACAGTCATTTTATAGAACATATTTTGAAATGCAGTACAGACCAAAGGTTTGGACACCTTTTCATTCAAAGAGTTTTCTTCATTTTCATGACTATGAAAATTGTAGATTCACACTGAAGGCATCAAAACTATGAATTAACACATGTGGAATTATATACTTAAAAAGTGTAAAACAACTGAAGATACGCCTTTTATTCTAGTTTCTTCAAAGTAGCCACCTTTTGCTGTGATACTGCTTTGCACACTCTGCATTCTCTTGGTGAGTGTCAAGAGGCCGTCACCTGAAATGGTTTTCACTTCTCAGCTGTGCCCTGTCAGGTTAATAAGTGGGATTTCTTGCCTTATAAATGTTGTTGGGACCATCAGTTGTGTTGTGCAGAAGTCAGATGGACAAACAGCTGATAGTCCTACTGAATAGAGTGTTAGAATTTATATTATGGTAAGACAAAAGCAGCTGAGTAAAGAAAAACGAGTGGCCATCATTACTTTAAGAAATGAAGGTCAGTCAGTCCGAAAAATTGGGAAAACTTTGAAAGTGTCCCCAAGTGCAGTCGCAAAAACCATCAAGCGCTACAAAGAAACTGGCTCACATGAGGACCGCCCCAGGAAAGGAAGACCAAGAGTCACCTCTGCTGCGGAGGATAAGTTCATCCGAGTCACCAGCCTCAGAAATCGCAGGTTAACAGCAGCTCAGATCAGAGACCAGGTCAATGCCACACAGAGTTCTAGCAGCAGACACATCTCTGCAACAACTGTTAAGAGGAGACTGTGTGAATCAGGCCTTCATGGTAGAATAGCTGCTAGGAAACCACTGCTAAGGACAGGCAACAAGCAGAAGAGACTTGTTTGGGCTAAAGAACACAAGGAATGGACATTAGACCAGTGGAAATCTGTGCTTTGGTCTGATGGGTCCAAATTTGAGATCTTTGGTTCCAACCACCGTGTCTTTGTGCGACGCAGAAAAGGTGAACGGATGGACTCTACATGCCTGGTTCCCACCGTGAAGCATGGAGGAGGAGGTGTGATGGTGTGGGGGTGCTTTGCTGGTGACACTGTTGGGGATTTATTCAAAATTGAAGGCATACTGAACCAACATGGCTACCACAGCATCTTGCAGTGGCATGCTATTCCATCCGGTTTGCATTTAGTTGGACCATCATTTATTTTTCAACAGGACAAAGACCCAAACACACCTCCAGGCTGTGTAAGGGCTATTTGACCAAGAAGGAGAGTGATGGGGTGCTGCGCCAGATGACCTGGCCTCCACAGTCACCGGACCTGAACCCAATCGAGATGGTTTGGGGTGAGCTGGACCGCAGAGTGAAGGCAGAAGAGCCAACGAGTGCTAAGCATCTCTGGAAACTCCTTCAAGACTGTTTGAAGACCATTTCAGGTGACTGAAGCTCATCAAGAGTGTGCCAAGCAGTATCACAGCAAAAGGTGGCTACTTTGAAGAACCTAGAATAAAAGACGTATTTTCAGTTGTTTTACACTTTTTAAGTATATAATTCCACATGTGTTAATTCATAGTTTTGATGCCTTCAGTGTGAATCTACAATTTTCATAGTCATGAAAATGAAGAAAACTCTTTGAATGAAAAGGTGTCCAAACCTTTGGTCTGTACTGTAAGCTCCTTTTTAACGAGTTTTTTAAAGCTGGTTTAAATTTGTACTTTCTTTAGCTCATCATTCAGTCCATTCCAGACATTTACTCCACACTCAGATAAACACAAACTCTTCCTGGTTGTTCTAATACGTTGTTTTTTAAAATATCCTTCACTCTTAAATTATAACTCCTCTCTGTCAGCTATTGGGTGGAAGTTGCTGATTTCTGACCTTAAACTGGAATTGTACAGTTTTAAATACTACAAGGTCCCAGAATTTCTGTATATTTGATTTGATAAATAACTGGTTTGTGTCCCAACATCCCACTTTATGTATTCGGATTGACTTATTTTGTATGCCGTATAATGGCTGTAAATTTGTTTTGTATTTATTCCCCCAAACTTCCACACAATGTGTTAGATGTGGTGCAATGAGTGTGTTATACAGAATAAAGATTTGTAGTCCAGGATGAAACTAGTTCCTCTCAGAACAGAAACACTTTTGGCTATTTTAGATTTTACTGATCTGTGGTTTCCAGCTAATTTATCGCCTAATATGACTCCCACAAAATGTATTTCTAATTCAGTTTCCTTTCTCCACTGTAGCTCCTAATCCAGTTTAATGCCAGCCCTCCAATTCCAGACCTTTCCAGCTTTTTTAGTAAGATGTCATGATTGATGGCATCAAAAGCTTTTTTTGAGATCCAGAAATACATCATTGCAAATTTCCTTTTATCCATATTGTCTATAATTTCTTCTGTTAACGCCATCAGAGCCATTGAAGTTGATCGGTTTTCTCTAAAGCCGTATTGACAATCAGTCAGAATGTTTTGCTTTTCAATGAAATGATCTAACCTTTTACTAAACATTTTTCTAGTATTTTAGAAAATTGACAGTAGGGACACAGGTGTGTGTGTGTGTGTGTGTGTGTGTGTGTGTGTGCTACCTGGATGACGGCGGCCTCGCTCGTGTACAGGTGTCTGAACAGAGCCTGGTACAGAACCTCGGCTCTGTTAAATTGACGAAGGTCTGCAGCGGGCTGGACATAGACATCATCATCACCATCATCACCATCATCACCACCACCACAATGGCTGAGCAGCGGTGAGCACCACAAGCTGAAAAGTTAGCTGCGTTGACCCTAAAGCATTAATCATAAACCTGTAGCCTTAGCGCTACATGTTTATATAGCGCTAAGGCGCTATATAAACATGCTATTCAGCGGAAGCTAATGCTAACGCGCTGCATTCAACAATACTGATACCCTCTGTGTGCCGTGAGGCTCTCAAAACATTTCATATTAATTTCTAATTATAGGTGGAAAAGTTCTGACCGTGTTGAGAACGATGTGATGCAGACAGCGAACTCCCAGCATGCAGTTTTCCGGCCTGTAGTCGTCATTCAGGAGGAGGGAAGGGGGGAGGAGGCGAGGCAGGAAGCGGGACAGGAAGGGGCGGGTCACCTGTGAAAACCAGAGCTGTGATTGGCTGATCAACACATCAGACACTTTAATCGGTCATTTATGTAGGAAACACTTTCTACCAGCAGGTGGCGTATTTGCTTTGACTCCCCCCATAAAAAAAAACTTAATGAATCTATAATAAATCTGATTGGTCAATAAACAGAAGCTGATTTAAACTGATTTCACATTCTGGATATTCAGAAACATATTCATATTAAGAGTTTTATTTCATTATTTTACAAAAAAACTCCTTAAAATGTTCAATAATATTCAGCACCGTGATATTATATCATTAACGTTCAGACTTCATCATCATGCTGTCATCACAGGGTTGTTGCCATGGCAACGCGATGACCAACCTGCAGCAGCGTCCAGGAGAACTGCAGCTTCAAGGCGGCACACCGTCGCCATGACTCCCTGAGACACAAACAGGAAGTGAGAGGAGTGACGAGCGGCCAGGTGAGGTCCCGACAGAACCAACCGGGTCACAGGTTCTGGTCTTACCTGGTCAGCTGAGGCTGCAGGATGTCCAGGACTCCATCCAGAATGCACCTGTCGTCCCCCTCCCCCGTCAGCAGGTGGGCGGAGTCTCTCCATCCGCCCGCCCTCAGCAGCGCCCCCTGAAGGCGCCGCGCCGCGGTTCTGGAGGCGGCGCTGGTCCAAACCTCGTCCTGCAGAGATGGAGCCATCAGAACCACCGGAACCACCAGAATCAATGCTGATGTCAGCAGCAACTTACCTGGAAATGTGTAACAGAGAACAGGTAGATGGGTGGAGCCACAGCGAGGAGCAGCCTGGCTCTTCTGGCTCCGCCCCCTTCCTCCCAGTTCCCCAGCAGCACTGTGAGGGCGGAGCTTACGGCGGCAGCCCGCTCCGGGACGCTCTGATAGGCTGAGGCGTCTAACGAGCCGCAGTCCTCCTCGCAGACCGGCAGCGCGGCACAGCCAATCAGAGCACTGATCACTGAGCTGTACGCTGCCTGAAGCTCCGCCCACCCGCTGTCCTGGTCATCCAACAGCGGAGGGAACAGCCAATCAGGATCTGCCGCCTGGAACAGATGCTCAACCTGGCCAATCAGAGTGCTGCTTTCAGCCACCCCAGTCAGCTTCTTCTGCAGCTCAGAGAGGAGCTCTGTGATTGGTGGGAGGGGATTAGAGGGGCGTGGCTTCTCTGAGGAGGAGGAGGAGAGATGAAGGTCATGAAGAAGAGGTGAAAGCTCCATCCTGATAAGAAGAAGAAGAAAAATTAAAACGATGCGGGAAGAAAAAAATCGTCATCTGAGGTTAAGAGGAGACAAATAAACAAAAAACTGATAAAATAAACAAAATGAATGAACATAAACCATAAAATACAGGAGAAACAGATCCGCTGACCGGAAGTAGCCAAGCAGCTGATTCCTGCTGCCGTTTCTCTTCTTCCTGGTGTTGTAGGTTCTGTCTTTCCTCCAAATCTTTTAACTGCTTACACGCTGCAGCGTATAAAACCATGTTTATGTGTGTCTACCGGCAGTCATACATGAACAGACTGCAGAGCAGAATAAAAGCTGAACTCTCCAGTCTTTGCCTGGTTCCGTCCATCAGCTGAGCTCAGTGGACCAGCGATGGACGGTGAATGTAGCTCTGGTTCTGATCCATCTGGATGATATGCATGGCTTCTAACATCTCATCATTTTTCGGCATTAAAACCTGTTTTCATATAAAACCAAATCTCATTATTTCTCACGGTAATTTACACTGAGAGGTTCTGGTCGGGTTCTGGAACTGGTAAAAGGACCTGGTACAGAAACAGAAATGAATGAACTCCAATACTGTTTTCATTTCTAACCCTATTTACAGTCTGAACTGGACCCGCTGGTTCCAACGGAACCAGAACCGGAACCGGTCTGAGGAACCTCCAGCTGCTCGGAACCAAACTTCCCGCATGAGGCAGTACCGGTGTGGATCTTAAGAGTCAGAACTGAACTGCTCAAAGGAACGAAATGAACCGGATCCTGCTGGACTAACTGACCTGGGATCCGCGGAACCAGAAGCCGCTCCGATTGGGTTTCTGTTCGGTTTCTGCTGGCCGAGCCGAACATGCAGCTGGCGGGAACTTCCGGTGACAACTTCCGACTGAAGAAGGAGCGCCGTGCCGCCCCCTGGTGTTCCGGAGGAAACACGGAGCAGGAACTGGAGTCCTACTGATCCGGACCAGAATCTGGACCTCAGGGAGGAAAACCGGACCGGGTCAGGGTTTAAACAGAACCTTTATAAAGACGGTCCAGCTGAGAAAATCTAATAATTATTATTATGAAAATAAATAAATAAATAAATAAATAAACAAAAATTTTAATTTTAACGTATTAAATATTATCCATGAAGAAATTCTGTGAATATTTAATTTGTTTTGTATTTTTAAACCATTTTGTCTTTGCTGAATAAATGCAGGTTACCAGAAAACGTGGATTTTTAGTAAAAAGTAGATTTCTTTTTATAGTCCTCAAATTATCCTAAAATAAAAAAATTCCCTTTTTATTCAGGACTTCCAGCCATCTGGGTTCAGTTCTTATGTTTGTCCAGCAGGTGGCGCTCCTTCCATCAGGAACAGTCCGGCTGAGTGAAATCACGTTTATTTCCTGTTGAATCATTAAAAATGGAAACTAAGCAACATTTTTACAGATTTTAAAAGTTTTTCTTGTTGCTGCCCGCTGGATCCTGTCAGAACCAACTTTATGCTTAATGAAATGATTTGAGTATTTGTGTTCAGTAAACGAGGAAATCTGATTAATGTTGACTTGAAAATAAAATCAGTCGCCTTTAAAGTAGAAATAAATAAATAAATAAAAACATGAATATTATTTATTGTAAACAGAAAACAGACTGATCCAGAGCCGCTTCATTCAGATTGAGGTCAAAGTTTTATTATTTTCTGGTTTTTATCAGCATAAACTCAGTTCAGCAACGGATCGGGCCTTCACCATCTGCAATGAACAATATGAGTTTCAGCAACATTTCATTTCCTGTGGGATCAATAATGTATCTCTTCATTTAATTTTTTTAACGGCTCTGCAGCAGTGAGTGTTGCAGAAACCTGTGTGTGTGTGTGTGTGTGTGTGTGTGTGTGTGTGTGTGTGTGTGTGTGTGTGCAGTAGCACCAGATTAAATGATCTGGATCCTCTGATTAATGATGAATCAGCATCAGATCTGCAGCCTGCAGCGGTTCCTGCGACCAAAGGAGCCGCCTTGATGGTTGAAAGGAGCAGGAAGTCTCTGAAGCTGCTGACACACACACACACATACACACGCACGCACACACAAGTGTCATGAAGGGACAGTTGACCTGTCCAATCACAACATGCCGACCTTTGAACCCGAATGAAAGCAGTCACTAAAATGTTTCTATCATTAAAAAATATGTATATTTATATTTTGGTTTTAAAAACATAAATTATTTTTATCCTCAGCAGAAACGTTTCATCAGGTCACCCTGAGTCCGGGGAGTGCTTTAAGATGAACTGGACCGAACCGGACTGGACAAAACCAAACCAAACCAGTTCAGCTGCAGCAGATTGCAGCTCTGTCGTGAATCGGTCCTTTCCCGTTTTTACTATTTTTAGTATAAATCTGTGATCTCCTCCTCTGGCTTCACCCTGCTGCTGTGCCTAATGTCCCTCTACTGGACTTATAGGACATTTCTGTGAAGACTGAAACCCGGTGAGACACGTTCGGCTCAGAGACCACAGGAGACATGAGGCCTGTTGAATCGTCCTGTTATTTTTGCACAAACACAGAACAACATGAGGAACCAGAAGCAGCGGCAGCTGAAGCTGCTGAGGCGTCTTTAAAGTATTCACACCCTGGAGGATGTCCTCCAGCTGGAGCTGAGCCCCCCTGTCTCTGAACAGGAAGTGGGAAGACGTGTCTTCGGGAGACGCCATGGCAGGACGCGAGCATCTCACTCCTCCGTCTCCTCTTCCTCTTCTTCTTCGCTGTAGTCGCTCAGAGGAAACTCGCGGCTGTCTCTGGTCGTGTTGTAGCTTTTCCTGTGCATCACACACTCCTGGTCGATGATCGCCTGAAACACAACAACACTCAGCTGCAGCGACAGAGAACAGGCTGCTGATTGGACGGTCTAAAAACAGGCTGACTGCTGATTGGACGGTCTGACGTTTGGTCATCACTAAACCAGGGAACATGGAGAGGCTCAGGGGTCATCCCTGAGGAACACCAGAATTAGAACCAGAACCAGAAGGGCCAGTAGGGCCGGACCCATTGGACCAATCACAAACCTCCATCTAATCTGGACCAATCACAGACCTCCATCTCAAGTTGCCATAGTTACCATCTTCTCCTCCCGAACAGCCGGGTTTCGCAGCAGGAAGCAGAGCGGCGCGTACAGGATGTTGATCACCCCGATGAACACCATGAGACAGGGGAAGCCCACCGCCTGGACCAGAGCGCCCCCAGTGGACGGGCCTGGAACAGCAGAGGGAATGACGGTGAATTCAGCAGGAAGTCTGACGCTCCACCATGTTGTCCTCCTGGTGCCGTTACCGATGGCGAAGCCCATGCAGAGCGCCACATCCGCGATGGCGTACACGCTGCCGTACACCGAGGCGTGGCGGATGTCCACCAGGTACGCCATGATGGCCATCATGGAGGAGTCCACCATTCCTGGAGGAGCAAAACACACGTCACCACAGCGCCACACCAAGACAGGTCGCATCAGGTCAGGAGGTCAGGAGGTCAAGGTCACCGATAGCGAAGCCCAGGCCGCCGTTTGGACCAATCAGACCGTAGATACTGGTGGCGAAGGGAACCTGGGAGACGAGACGCATCAGAATCGCCATGAGTGGGAGACAAGATGGATGACGAGACGGTTAATCTGTGTTTGTGTTGATGAAAGTGGCTGTTGCCATGGTAACAGATGGGCGGGGCTTGGACTCACACACAGCAGGCTGACTCCGACGATGAACATTCCCACCATGGAGCAGAGCCACCTGCAGACACACACACAACCTGAAACCAGCCGGGTCGGGTCAGAACCGGGCCAGAACCAGACCAGAGCCTGGTCAGAACCAGACCAGGGTCAGAACTGGGTCGGATCACTTTCATTGTTTGGGCTTCCAGAGATTCAGTTTCAGGAAATACTTCTGCTCTGACCATCAGAACCACCAGCTCAGGTTCTGGACCAGAACCAGGAGTTCTGGTACTGACCGTCCCATCTTGTTGGCCAGAAGTCCGAACAGGTTGGTTCCGATCAGGTAGGAGATGCTGGCTGGGAGGAAAGCAATTCCTGCAACACACGGAGGACAGCCGATGGCCAATCAGAGCTCTCCGGCCGCAAGCTGAGATCTGATTGGCCAGAGGGTCGTACCGAGCTGCCACTTTGGGGAACACATGGTCTGCATCATCCAGATGGGCAGCGTGGGCTCCAAGATGGCCACACCCATGTTGGCGAAACACAGAGACCCTGCAGAGGGATGGAGGGATGGAGGGGAGGAGGGGTGGAGGGATG